AAAAAGAAAATTGTGGAGTGATGACCATTTTTTATGTTTAGTAGGTTGGTGATAAAGCTGACGTGACACAGAGGTGGTATTACTTTTTCGATGGGTTGACTGTGACCACTCTCCACAACCTTAAACAAGGTTAAAAAACCATCATGATTTTAGCTTAGTCAGCATCGACGTGGTTTGCCTTGTGTTTAAGCAACTCTTATGTGTAAGGTTATCCACATCAGCGCAATGCCACTAATCTTTCAATTGTAATACATCAGCTTTGCAATGACTACTCACACCAGAGCAATAACACTCATCTTTCAAAAATGATCATCACTATCACATCAACAATTAATATATATATATATATATATATATATATATATATATATATATATAATATTAAATATTAATATTTACTCAATAATAAATAAACATAAATTTAATTATTATAATTAAAATAATATTTTTTAAAATAATATAACAAAATAATAATAAAGATGACCGGCATTAATATGTATATAAATAAGCTTGTATTATATATATATATATATATATATATATATATATATATATATATATATATATATATATATATATATATATATATAAAAAGATAGTTTAAATAAATAAAATATTAAAATAGAAAAACATTATTTAATATTAAATTTAAGTTTGGAAGGTTTTTTATATTTGAAAGAACATGCTTATGTGGCATGCATAATCCAAGATGTGACATTGCAATTACATTTGCAAGCCACCGATATGGATGCTCTAAGCAACTTGTTGTAGAGGGATATAAAGAAACAAGTTAACAAAAACTTAGTTTTTAATGGCATTAGCCCTTTAAATTTCCATAATCTTTGATCTCTAAAAAGGAAAAAAGAAATAAAATATTCTTCTATATTTGTTATATATTTAAGAAAATTAATAAAATTTTTAAAATATTTATAACCATTTAAATAAAGAATATTTAATTACTTTTTCAAAGTGAAAACAAGGAGATTTGTTCTTTCATTTTATTTTTATTTAAATATTTGTGTTCGAGGCGCCAGCTGCTCCCCAAACGGTTTCAAAAATTCAGGCACAAGTTAAGTATTTTGACACATTCTTCTCTCTCCGAATCTTGAAGTCAATAATATCTTCTCGCTGCCTATAATCCATGGGAACTGTATCCAATCACAACCCACGATCCCATAACACAAACCCTCTTAACCATAGAACCGGTTTCAACAAACGGAAACCTCAAAGCAGCCATGGAGAAGTTGAAAGAAGCTCTCATTACATTTGCCGATTCAAACCCTAGTATATTCCGACATGATGGTTTTAATTCCCATCCGAGCTTAATCGAACAGCGCTTCTCTCAATTCTTCTTCGATTTTCAGACGCCTAATCATCCGCCTTATGCAGCTGTAAGTACATTGGTGGTTTTGAAAAAAAAAGATCTCAAACACTCACGATAAAATATTTGAATCTGCTCATTTAGGTTTTTTTTTTTTTTTTTTTTTTTTTTTTTTTTTTTTGGTGTTCATTGACGGAAAGTACTCTTTTGCGTTATATCTGGATTGTTTCATCGATGAAGGTTTCGCTCGTTATAATGTTTTACACTGGAGTTCTTAATTGCATTGTACTGAAGCAAGTAATCTCTCTGTTACAGACAAATACACAATCATCTTTTACAAGATCAAACATTTTTACGTCGTGATTTTTAGAGAAATTGAACGTGATCAAATTAAACGTTGTAAAAACTTTAAAAAAGAACTATTGGCGTATACATTACAACATTGTTAGTCATAGCAGAGGATTAACCCAATTTAGCTTCTCTATATCAATTCTTTTGGAACCCTAAATACAGTTCTTTGATCAATTCATTTATCATGTTGATGATCTTAGTTTATATGTCATTCATGGATACAGATGATTCATAAAGCACTTAGGGAACTGAATGAGAAAAGGGGTTCTAGTGAGGAGTCAATATCAAAGTACATAAAACAGGAGTTTGTTGATTTACCATGGGCCCACTCTACATTTCTGAAACACCACCTTGAGAAGCTTTGTGATTGCAAAGAAATTTCCATAACTCGGAAGAAACGTTATTTGCTTGCTGGTGTAGATTCTGACCCAATTTCAAACCCTAAATCTGAAAAACAGTTAAAAAGGAAGCAAGATTCAGAAACAGGGAAGAAAAACAGTGGGCATAACAAGAAACTTAAGAAGAGCAAGAAAAAAGAAACCAAGAAACAGATAACTGAAGTGTTTCAAGATCAAGAAAATGTCACACGCAATGAATTGCTTGAATCAGAATGTTTAGAGATTAAATATCATCAAACAAATGAGGAAGGAAATAGTTTGATAGATGTATGTGTTCAAGAAAATGGAGTATGTGCAAATGATAAGGAGCAAAAAGAAATACAAAGCAAAAAGAAGCGGAAGTCAAAAAAGAGGGGTAAAAATGGAAAGAAAAATGAGAACACTCAACTTCAAGATTCGAGTGAAGCAAATTTGAAACAAAACAATGAAGAGATTGACTGTGAATTACATGAGAAGAATCCTCAAATTCAGGGAAAACAAGTTTGGACAAAATCAAGAATAAAGAAAATGTCGAATATGCCAAAAGGTGTTGAGTATTTATCTGAAGAAAAACAACAGACAAAAGAGACATCATCAAGTGCAGTGTCTAAACTTATGAATGGGCAGCGATCAAAACTACGTAGTTTTAAGAAGAAAAAAGGCGTGTCAATTGACAAGGATCAAAAGAAGCAGAAAACGCGTGGTAGACATGATAAGATGCCAAGGAGGAGCATCAGGAAAAGGAAAGCCCCGAGTCGATTGGATTAGAAGAAAGGCATGATCTTTACTCAAGATTTTTTGTGAATTATTAGGTTTTTAGTAAGATAAGTTAATTGCTATTTTTTGGTTGTTTTGAAAAATGGGTACTTTTAAAGATTGTTTTATAGTAGCAAGTGAAAGTAGTTTTTGAAGTCAAGTAGTTTGAATCCCAATTTACATCTCTTCCAATTTGGGCTTTTTGAACGTTTAGTTTAAGATAATGTGTTGGTATTTATTATTTTTATGTTGATGTTAATATTATAATTTGTTAGTTTAGTTTATGTTCTTTTTAATGTTTGAGATTTTGAATGAAGTTTTGTTATATCTTTGAGTTAACAATTGTGGTTGTTGTGAAATCTTTGTGAAGATCTTTTATTTTAATTTTCAATGTAAAATTTTTACGGGTTACAATTGTAGGTTTCTATGGTTTTTTTTTTGTTTATCTTTACTACTTATAAAAGAAATCTAACTATTTCTATAAATAGATTGAATATAATAATATTATTTTTTTAAGACGTACAAACGATTAAGCTAATATTACAAACAACCATTAATAAAATAATATTAAATTTTAAATTTGTTTTGATTCCTTATATTTCTCAGCAAAATCCTAATTTCATGGTCATTCAAAATTTAAAACCTTTTCATCCTAATACGCTTCAACAAATATCCTTTAAATGTTGCATTTGCAGCTGATTAAAATATCTCATAGCAGACGTGTGTTTGTTCTCTCCACCTTATAAACCCTGCTATAAATCCCACTGCCATGAAGTATTTCCCTTATAAACCCTAATCGTTTTTCTCCCTCTCTTAGACGAAGACAATGTGTTTTTTTTAAGAAAAAAAGTTTGAAAATATTCCAATTTCTCAAAAAAATTTACCCCAAATGCGAAACTGGGTAAAATTTTCCATTTTGCGAAGACTACAGGGATGCGAAATGAAAATTCTGCACTTTTGTCTTTTTATGACCCCATTTTGCGAAGTTGGACCACTTATATTATTTCTTGAAAAGATCAGGTGCCAAATGCGAAACTCTAAGCTTTCTTCCCCAATTCGCATTTATACATTAAAAACTTCGCATTTTCATTCAAATTCTTCGCATCTTGCATCCATCCGTCTTTGAGTTCATTCGCATTTCATCGCATTAACTGAGAAATTAATCAGTTGTCTCATATTCGCATTTCAGTTGTTTGAGAAACCCAGATACGAACCCAAATGCGAAACCCACTGATTTCAAATGCGAACCAACCAAAAATCATCAACCACGTACTTGTGTCACCAAATGCGAACTGAATATCACCATTAAATTCTCCTCGCATTCCATAGATGCGAACACAATCCAGATCTCCGACTCCAAGCTTGCGAAATCAAAATCAATTAACCTCAAACAAATCGTGAACTTCTTATGCGAACTGTTTTGACCCACAAAACCAAATGCGAACTCAATTGATGTCATATGCGAACTGATTTCATAGATGCGAACACAATTGATTTCATATGCGAATCCACATCCATCGATATGAAACCAATACCAGTTACAAGCAATTAGTAGCAACAACCATCGATCCTCTAATTTTCAATTACTCAGCCTTCGCTTTTCATACAACCCGTCGACCCTGAAAAATCGATAAACACCAAATGTCTCATTTTTAGATCGATTTTCTGATTAAATGTCATATTTGAAGAATGATCGATTTTCTGATTAAATGACCCCATTTTGCGAAGTTGGACCACTTATATTATTTCTTGAAAAGATCAGGTGCCAAATGCGAAACTCTAAGCTTTCTTCCCCAATTCGCATTTATACATTAAAAACTTCGCATTTTCATTCAAATTCTTCGCATCTTGCATCCATCCGTCTTTGAGTTCATTCGCATTTCATCGCATTAACTGAGAAATTAATCAATTGTCTCATATTCGCATTTCAGTTGTTTGAGAAACCCAGATACGAAGCCAAATGCGAAACCCACTAATTTCAAATGCGAACCAACCAAAAATCATCAACCACGTACTTGTGTCACCAAATGCGAACTGAATATCACCATTAAATTCTCCTCGCATTCTATAGATGCGAACACAATCCAGATCTCCGACTCCAAGCTTGCGAAATCAAAATCAATTAACCTCAAACAAATCGTGAACTTCTTATGCGAACTGTTTTGACCCACAAAACCAAATGCGAACTCAATTGATGTCATATGCGAACTGATTTCATAGATGCGAACACAATTGATTTCATATGCGAATCCACATCCATCGATATGAAACCAATACCAGTTACAAGCAATTAGTAGCAACCATCGATCCTCTAATGAGGAAACAGTTTCCTATTCGATTGTGCTTTGCAATGACAATCAATAAAGCTCAGGGACAAACAATTCCATATGTAGGTATCTATCTTCCAGAACCAGTATTCTCGCATGGACAACTTTATGTTGCATTGTCCAGAGGGGTTTCACGTTGCAATACAAAAGTATTAGTAAAGCCTAACGAAAATTCAAAAGGTGATGGGGTTTATACAGCAAATGTGGTGTATAAAGAAGTATTGCACGATTAATATTTTGTGTCGTCTTGACTGGTTGCTTTTTATTGGTTATTTGATGCATGATGTAACAAATAACACCATAGTTTGATTATATTGTCTTCAACATGTACTTTTTTTAACATAACAATTTTGTAATGGAAACATATCACCGAAAGAACTCACGTGCCCCGCCGCTTTGCGCGGGTAGACGGCTAGTTCTATAAACAGAAAACACTTAAAAAAGTAAATACCTAAATAGAGCACTATTTGTGTCTATTTGGTTTATGTAATGAAATCACAAAGGAATGGGATGAACAAATGTAATGAAGTTTCAAAAGGAATGGAACGAACAATTGTGGTTTATGTAAAATATGTTTTTTTTTTTTTTTTTTTTTTTTTGTTATATACGAATAGAAAGTTAATTAGAATTAATTTGATAAATAAATAAAGAATAAATTATTTCTCTTGAAATATATATTATATATATTTAAATAGTTAAACAATAATTATATATCAACTAAAAAAATTGTTTAGAAAATTAAGGAAAAGTTACCATAAAATCTTAAAACAGAATTATGGTTAAAATTTGATTTAGTTATTTTTGGAGAAGAAACTAATAATAATTTAATTTAAGTTTCAAAAATTAATTTAAAAAAATTATTTATTATTAAAGATTATATAAATACTATGTATCAACTTAAGAATAACACAGTAGACAATGCTACACTCTTAATCCCCTACAGTAATGAAATCTTCCATGGTTTTCCTTTCAACTTTTAATTCTTTTAAAAATCGGAGGTTAAATTTGACTAAACGACAAAAAAAAAAAAAAAAAAATCCTATATTACCTTCCTTATCGCGAGTGTGCTGAAAGTGACTAAAAAGAAATAAAGAATCTTGCCTTAAGGAAGAGCCTGCTATTTATTTATTTATATTGAACCATTTTCTAATTTATCTCAATTCTCTCTCTACTATCTCTCTACCATAACCGTCGAAGTTATGACCATAGTTGTCACACTCGAATGAGTCATGAGTCGACTCGTACGAATCGTTTAAAACCCCAAAAGAGGCGACTCGGTTAGACTGACTCTGTAACATCCAAATTTTCAAGATAAAAAATTTCATTTTTGTTTATACGACTTAGGAAAAACAATTATAAGAAAACATCACCAAATCGCATTATTTCATAAAACCATAGTCACATGTCTCGGAAAACCATATCATAAAACAGTAACAATGTCAGAGTACAATTCAAAGAATATCATAATGCAGGAATCTTGTGTGTGTGTGTGATACGCTGCTACCATGTCGGCTTCTTCCCTTTCGACGAAGAGGTACCTGAAATCAAAACTGAAAACTGTAAGTACAAAGCTTAGTGAGTTCCCCCATCATACCGCATACCATACATAGCACATACTGCCAGACATATCTGGGTGTCTGACCTACCCTGCTGAGCATACCGGGGTGCTCAACCTACCCCTGCTAGGTATACCGGGGTGCCTAACCTACTCCTGTCAGACATACTGAGGTGTCCGACCTACCCCTCTAGTTTTTCTTAACCGGTTACAAGGACTATTTCACCCCTACTACTACCACATAAAAACATAACATAATCATACTGTCAGGCATACCCGGGTGCCCGACCTACCCCTTGGCCCTATCGATCGGATTTGGAGACTATTCCCCCTACTACCATTATCACATAACATCATATACTACTAGCACATAAAACATAACATATAGTGGCAAACCAGACACTTATCATGAAGACAATCATATACAATCACTCCTACTAGTGGGCCAACATTGTGGCCTTAGACCCACTTTTACAAGAAGGTAACTCACATCGTAAAGCTGAATGTTGAAAATCACTGGAAGGAATCTCTAACAGCTGCTCTGATGACTCCCTGACTATCATTAACATAACAACACTTATTCAAAATCCATAATACTTCTTAGGGTAAAATGACCATTTTACCCCTTGGTCTAATTTTGGACCATACCCAAGGCCTAATTCCATCTTATCTTTCCCAACCCACTAAAGGCCCACTAATGGAAAATTGGGCCCAACTCTTCAAATGAGCCTTTTCACAAACCTAATAAATCCTTAGTTCCAAAATAAATAATTCGAGTGGCCCAATATAGCCCCAAAAGGCCTAATACTTTAAGTCTCAGTTCCAGGCCCAATACTCTAAGTCTCAGTTCCAGGCTCAGAAACTCTGCTCAACAGTGGGCCATGGGGCCCAACTATCTAGGCCCAAAAGCCCACATCCTCTACTCTACATGTGTACGTGCGACGTACCCGACACGTATGCCCAGCATATGCTGGCCTTGACTACAACGGGAAGTTAACCCAGTACGCTCTGCGTACTAGGGTGTACGCATGACGTACCAGCCATCTTCCTTGGGGCTTCATTCGTGACTTAATCCGTTAAGTACTCACGCCCAGAATGTAGATCCAGGTCCTTTAAGGCTTCCTAGTCCATAAAGTCACAAACTTTATGTGCTTGCATGCATGGGTGGGGTCAAAACATGATTTTTGGTCCTTAACCCAACTTTGTGACCTTCAAACACTTGCATGGTTGTGGCTTATACATCAAGGTCTGATTTTTATTACTCTAGGTGCTTCTAAAAACCCCAAAGGACAACTCTTATGTTCTGAAACTATCTTCAAGCAACCTCAACAATGGAGTCCAAAAGTGACA